TTTCAGGAACTACAAAAAAACATGTACACAGGCAGTAATTAATACTTAAGGATCAGCCCTAACCGGTTTGGCTCAGTGGATAGAGCGTCGGCCTGCGGACTGAAAGGTCCCAGGTTCGATTCCGGTCAAGGGCATGTACCTTGGTTACGGGCACATCCCCAGTGGGAGGTGTGCAGGAGGCAGCTGATCGATGTTTCTAACTCTCTATCCCTCTCCTTTCCTCTCTGTGAAAAATCAATAAAATATATTTAAAAAAAAATACTTAAGGATCACAAGCCTTGGATGAATGCTCATTTTACTTATTTCTTACAAGTGAAATACTTGGTTAGTCAGCAATCAAAATTGTTCCCAAACCAACTTAGTACCTGATGTCAAGGAAGCCAGCAATATTATGTTTATTTACCTATGTAACCCAACTTTTAAATTTGGGAAAAAATAAGCATTGTCAGAGTGCAGTAACAGGGTACACAATTCAATATTAATATTATTACCAGCACAGGAGATGCAGAAGCAAAGAAAATATCACATTCTCTTTATATCCTCATTTTTGCTGAGCAAGGAAACAAAAAACCTCTTAATAATTTGATAAATTCTAAGAAAATGTTTAACAAGTTTATAAGCAAATAATTATAAACTTGTCTTTGTCTCTCCTCCCAAAATCAAATATAGCATCAATGTCCCTCTCCCCCAAAGCAGTATTTTAGTCTGGTGATAAACAGGAATAATGAATAGGAAAATCTTAGCTCATTCCTAAAACATTTCTGAATTTCTATATTTGCCAGGCTTTAAAATGAAAAACATAGCAAAATTAAACAGAAGAGCCCTAGCCGGTTTGGCTCAGTGGACAGAGCGTCGCCTGTGGACTGAAGGGTCCCGGGTTTTATTCCGGTCAAGGGCACATGTCCAGGTTGCAGGCTCCATCCCTAGAAGGGGGCGTGCGGGAGGCAGCCAATCAATGGTTCACTCCCATCAAGGATGTTTCTGTCTCTCCCTCTCCCTTCCTCTCTGAAATCAATAAAAATACATTTTTAAAAAATTAAACAGAAGACAAAAGGGCATGGGATCTCTTCACTGGGGACAACTACACATAAAGGTAAATCATTTTATGCAAACATAAAGTGTAATTTTTAAAGCTAGAAGGAACTGTAGAAGTTATCTAACATAACTTCAGTATTTTATAGTTAAAACATGTCAAAATAATTTTGCCATTATCTATGCAAAAATCTTGTATATTGTACATTTTTAAATTAAAATTTTTCTCAATGTCTAGAAATATGATTTACAAACATCCCTTCCCATATCAATGGTAATTTAAGTAGCAAAGAAGAATGAACATGAAACAGAAAAATCTCTTCATCTGTATTGTAGAATGTCACTCATCTGCTTTCACAAGAGGAAGGGATATCAAACCAGAGATCAAAAGCTAGAAATTCCAAATACTGTAGTATCAGCCAAAACGGTCTGATCCTCCCTCCAAACATTTCTGGACTTGTGTTAAAAATAAAAAGCAACAACCTGGGCAGTCAGTATGATAGTTCATGACTTAAGATTCTAAATCTCAGGATTAGACATTTTCCTGACATTTTGAAAAGTACTTTTAAGGATAAAAAGGAGAAGGGGAAAGAACTAATATTATCCTATATAATAATCCTATATAATAAAAGGGTAATATGCAAATTGACCCTAACAGCTGAACGACCAGTCGCTATGACACGCACTGACCACCAGGGGGCAGACGCTCAATGCAGGAACTGCCCCCTGGTAGTCAGTGTGCTCCCACAGGGGGAGCTCTGCTTAGCCACAAGCCAGGCTGACAGCTGTGAGTACAGCGGCGGTGGCAGGAGCCTCTCCTGCCTCCTTGGCAGCGCTAAGAATGTCCAACTGCAGCTTAGGCCCGATCCCCCGGGGAGCAGGCCTAAGCCGGCAGGTGGACATCCCCCGAGGGGTCCCGGACTGCGAGAGGGCACAGGCTGGGCTGAGGGGACCCCCCCCCTCCCCCGAGTGAACAAATTTTCATGCACTGGGCCTCTAGTCTATAATAATCTATAATAATAAAAACATAATGTGCTAATTACACCAGACAACCTTCCAGACAAAGCAGGGGCTGTGAGGGAAGCCTGGGTCCCAGATGCCTGCTGGTGGCCAAAGGGAAGCCCAATCCTGGGTCCCAGGTGTCGGAGGGAAGCCAGTGCCAGCAGCCAGGGGAAGGAAGGCCTACTCTTGCACGAATTTCATGCATCGGGCCTCTAGTGTACTTTATAAACATTAGCTCATTTAATCCTTACATCAACCCCGGAAAAGAGGGATGAATTGTATACATATTACAAAAGAAATTGAGACTCAAGAATTTGTGCAATCTGGCCTGGCCATTTATGGCTGTTGGTTGGAGCGCCGTAGAAGGTTGTGGGTTTGATTCCATCAGGATACATACCTAGGTTTCAGATTCAATCCCATCAGGGAGGATTCGGGAGACAACCCATTGATGTATCTCTCTCACATTGATGTTTCTCTCTCTCCCTTCCTCCTTAAGGTCAATTTAAAAAAAGGGTTTATACAATCTGCCTTAAAATTGCAAATATAATTAATTACCAACACAGGATCTGAACAAAATCTAGTTTATTTTTTATCAAAATCCAAGATCTTCCTACATCATGTAGCCTCTATATTAATAGAGAAAATCATGTTAATATTATTTGAATCCTGAGATACTGATTCCTTTTACAGACATCAGAATATCTCTTAATGGCATCAACTGATGATAATCTAAAACAATATATTTAAAAAGATTTGCCCTAGCTGGTGTGGATAGAGCGTCTGACCCACGGACATAAGGGTTGTAGGTTCAATTCCATTCAAGGGCATGAACCTCCGTTGCTTGATCCCCAGCGGGGCCAAGCTTGCAAGAGGCAATCAATCGATGTGAGATCAGTGTTTGTCTCTCCCCCTCCCTTCCACTCTCTCTAAAAATCAATGGGAAAATATCCTTGGGTGAGGATTAACAAAACAAACAAAAAAATTTACTGGAAGATCCAACAATTTAATTATAGGTAACAGTCACACACAATCACGAGAAGTCCTATTATAGAAGGAAGACTAACCAGACATTAAAATGTATCCAAGGCCTCAAACTAGGAGATACTTAAAATACTATTTTGAGGAGAAACAAAAAATAGTGACGCTTATGCTTGAGTTATTATAGATTTAACTAGCTTTAGCAACAGTTCCAATAGTAAGCAAGGCTGTTTTTGTCAGGAGTCTGTTTCTAGAAAGTGGGTAGAGTAAGGTATCCAACTAATCCCCTAATCCCCAAGGGGAAATGCACCAGGGAGGGGAGAAAATGACAAAGAGTAAATGCATAATGTAAAGCAGCCAAAACTGGCCCTCTACCATAGTTTTACATAACTGAAAGATGTCTGGTAAAGCCATTCTAATTACAAACTAATTGTGAACATCATTCCCCAAATGACATAAGATTACGATTTATTAGAAACTGAGACAGCAACTACAAAACTGGTTATTAATGTTTGTCACAACAAACTGTAAACGCAAGGCACGTCCGCCCGGTCTACCATACACTTAACTTCCTAATAAGCGGCTTTAAGATGTCACAGAGCGTTTAAGTGTTAAACAACTTCTTACATCAGCATTAAAAACTTAACAGCTACTGCAGCCAGTACCTATATCGTGTTCGAGATGAGGAACTCAAAGAAAAAACGATTGAATGACCCGTCCAAGACCTGATGCAGCTAAACACAACCTAACACCAAACAACTTCTCCAGCTCAAAGGTTTTCCAAGTGGAGCACACAACTCCCTGCAAACTGCACGGCGACTTTCTAAACCAGGTGGCCTCGCACCCCGGAAGTCCCCCTTTCAGTAAAGCGCACGCGGAAACGCGGGGACCCGCGCCCGCAGGCAGGGCGCACCCGGTACTCGCTCAGTTCTGCCTCGGGGCAGGGAGGCAGGCCACGG